ATATATATATATATAAATATATAATTATATATATGATATTGTCTTTATGGACGTGAGTTCTTGAAGTGTATTCCACGTCTATTAGATGATTTTTAAGAATGATAGTTGAAAAAGAGCACAATGTTTCTACTGAATACCGTTTGTAGCATATATAAATGCTCATAAACTGCCATGCATTAATTGCTAACTCTCTACAAATGACTCCAACATGTAGAAAGTTACCAATTATTTTATAAGTTTAATAATTAGCTATGTACATCAAAATACTGTGATGACATTGTAATATAATGTGAGATATAAGATTATTCAACAAATGGCAGTTTATAGTATCTTCGTCTTAAGCATTAATTAATGTACTCTATGGTATAAAAGTTTTCTTATCCACAGCTTTTTGTTTTCTGAGTTATCTATCATTGCAATTGTATATGTGAATATTTGTACAGAAGTTCCAAGATGCCAATCACATTTCTTCAAATATTTGGGTCCAAAAATTTAAAAAAAAATTCACTTAGGGTCATGATAGCTACATTGTACCAGATACATTTGATATGATCCATATAAAGGTCCATGACGTTAACATTAAGTAATTCAACTTAAGAAACGAATGTGTTCAGGTACTGTAAATCCTGACCCATTAATAGCAATAATATGAAGAGTAACTTTGTAATAAAATAAATGAAGTCTGTTGAATAGCATCATATCAATATGATGATATATTTAGGCAGTATTATTAGAGAAAGAAATTGAACGAGAATGTGGCAATCAGATTGGCAAACTGGACCAGCAGAACTTTGTTATAATATTTCAGGGTGACAGCAGCGTTAATGTAAAAATAATTGATTAATACCAGAGTATCAACATATGAAGTAAGTGTATGGCTAAATAAGTGAAAACTGTTAGTTCCTAGTTTTCAGAGATGGGCACATAATCGAACAAAAGCACATAAAAGTACCTGTTAGAAACAGATTTCTGTGATCATTGGAATATTTGTTTTCTACTTCATTTTTTTTTCGCCTTTTTTGATCGGTACATAATCTTATACGCACAAAGATTATCCAAATTGACGTATATATATCGAACCCAGAAGTGATCATGATTTTTTTTTTAGAAACATTTTATATG